GCAACAGTGGACGCCGTGGTGGTGGAATAGCTCTAGTCTTTAAGAAGGGAATTGATGTGACCGTTCTGAACACAAGCTCGGATATTTTCACTCAATTCGAACATCTAGAAGTTACAGTCCGAATAGAAGACATGAGAATGAATCTATGTATCATTTACAGACCGCCACCTTCTACTGTGAATGGTTTAACTACCAGTCAGTTCTTCTCAGAACTGGACAACTATCTTGATCAGAATACTATATTTCCCCAAGACCTAGTAATCACAGGTGATTTCAATTTTCACGTCGACAATCGTAGTGATCCTGAAGCAAGCAGGTTGTTACAATCCCTTGATGATCGCAACCTTATACAACACGTGGACGAGCCGACCCATGTTCACGGACATATCCTAGACTTGCTTATCACACGATCCTCTAGTGAAATACTACATTCACGTCCTCAAGTCAAAAATCCTTCATTGAGTGATGTGAAAGGAAACTTGTGCTGTGACCACTATGCTATACATGCAACGTTCAACTGCAGAAAGCCACAACATCAACGTAAAGAGATTACGTTTAGAAGGCTCAAGAATATCAACATACATGACATGAGTAGAGATATTAAAAATCAACTACAAGATGAATCCGCACGAAATGAGAACACGTCTGTTGACCATTTAGTACAAGGGTACAACAAATGCCTCTCGCATATTCTAAACACTCATGCGCCTCTTGTTAGCAAGTCAATTCTTATAAGAGCTAACACAGAGTGGTACACAGACGAGCTCAGGACAGCGAAACAACAGAAGCGGAAAACGGAGAGACGTTGGCGTAGATCTAAACTGGAAATACACCACCAGCTATTTAAAGCGGAATGTAAGCAAACAGGCCAATTACTACACAAGGCAAAAGAAGAATTCTATTCTACTAAAATTCAGGAATGTAGACATGATCTGAAAAACTTCTTTAGAGTGACGAATTTTGATGGGTAAGAATCAGGAGAGTCCCCTACCAACATCACCATCAGATGAAGATCTTGCAAATAAATTTTCAACGTTTTTCATAGACAAAGTAACATCCATCAGAGAGACACTTAAACAAAAAACAGAAAAAGAAGACAGCTATTTAGGCACAGACGTATACTATCATGGGCCTCTATTAGCTGCTTTTGAACGTACCACTGAAGATGAAGTATGATCACTAATAATGAAGGCACCCAGTAAATCATGCGAACTGGATCCAATTCCAACAAAGCTACTGAAAAAGTGCCTGGATCCGGTAATACCGCTTGTCACAGAAATGGTTAATACATCTCTCGATCAGGGAATTTTTCCGTCTGCTTGGAAGGAGGCCATAGTTCGTCCACTGCTTAAGAAACCTGGACTTGATAAGGAAGTGTTGAAAAACTATCGGCCCGTATCGAACTTGAGTTTTATCTCAAAAATATTGGAGAAAGTTGTGGCTCGTAGGATTGATGCCCATTTGGATGCGAATTCTCTTCGCGATCCACTTCAGTCGGCATATCGTCCCAGGCACTCCACGGAAACGGCCCTTATCAAGGTCCACAACGATATTGTGACAGCCCTAGACCAACAATCTTCAGCAGTCCTTGTCCTTCTGGATTTATCCGCTGCTTTTGATGTTATTGACCATAATATATTGTTCCAACGCCTGACTGTGTCTTATGGTTTCCGTGATGGAGCTCTTGAGTGGATCAAGTCTTACCTCAAGAACAGAAAACAATGTGTAACAATTGGATCCGTCCGATCAGAGTCTAGACAGCTGCCTTTTGGTGTCCCCCAAGGATCTGTACTCGGACCGAAATTGTATTGCCTCTTCTCCAAACCCATTGGAATCATATGCCACCGCCATGGAATGATATATCACTGCTATGCAGATGATACACAAATCTACATGATCATAAGACCACTGGAAAATTGGAACAATTACTTCTCTCGACTTGAAGCGTGTCTTAGTGAAATTGGCTCATGGATGACATCAAACCTACTCAAACTAAACCAAGAAAAGACCGAGCTAATAATCTTCTCCACAAAGCAACATCAGAAATATCTGCCAACATTACAACTAAAAGTTGGTGATAATATCATTGAAAGCGTGCCATGTGTAAAAAATCTAGGTGCATTTTTCGATCAACACCTTACTATGGAAAAACAGGTATCCTCGGTCGTCAAGTCATGCTATTTTCGAATAAGCAATATTGGACGAATACGGCGCTTTCTTACAAAAGAAGCCTGCAAGACCATGGTGAATGCCGTTATCACAGCCAGGCTGGACTATGGGAACTGCCTTCTATATGGAGTGTCGAAGGCCTTACTAGACCGGATTCAAAAAGTCCAGAACACGGCAGCTCGTTTAGTTACAAGATCATCGAAACGGGAGCATATTACACCTATCCTAGCTGATCTTCATTGGCTACCTGTTTCTTTTCGTCCACAATATAAAATCTTGACATATGTCTACCAATCCTTACACGGATTAGCTCCATCGTATATCAAAGATCTTATAATGGAATACAAGCCTACCAGATCACTGCGATCTGAGTCAACATCACGGTTAGTTGTTCCTAAGATCAGGACGAAGACATATGGTGAACGTCGACTTGGTTGGGCAGCAGCATTTTTGTGGAACGACCTTCCTAATGATATAAAGCAGGCCCAGTGCCTGGATATTTTCAAAAGACAATTAAAGACGCATTTTTATAGGATAGCTTTTTAAATTTTAGGTGCTCAATTTTTAGCAGCAAATCATAAATCACAAATGATGTTCTTTTATTGAGTTTTTTTTTTTTATTGATGTTGTAATTGTATTTTGTATGTAATTTGTAGTATTTTAATGTTATAATTCCGAACATATATATGAGTATGGGTTAATATTTTATATAAGTTTTCATAGCTTTTAAATTATGTTTACTTGCGTTTTATTGTACAGCGCTTTAGAGTTAAATTATTAATATTTAGCGCTTTATAAATTCATATATTATTATTATTATTTCTCGGAGCAAACACACAGCGCCTATAGAGTAAAAAATTGTTTGAATAAAAATAACCATAGATTGACTAGAGAAGAATTTTAGGGATATTTTAGGCTAAAATTCACAATTCAAACCGAAATTCAAATTACGTAAAGATATATTGAACATGGTTTTTATCTGTGCGTATGCGATTTGCTTCGACAAAATGGCCCTGTTGTTAAAAATGTACTGTTCTAATTTGTTTGTAAAACGTCAACATGTTTCTAAAGTATTCACCTAAATAAAAACATTGTGGCCAATACGTGTTTATTGATAGATTTTGCGAGTGTTCTTCACTGAAAATTGTGAAAGTTATTTTTTCATTGAAAATTCATTTTTTTTAAATTTTAAACAATTTTTAAAAACATATTTTGTTTCTTCCATGGGTGTTTCCAGAGGTCCGAATTCGAATCTCTCCTAAATGCCAATTTAAAAAAAATGGATTTTCGTAACTCAAATGAACACAGACCCTTTACACATTACATAGTTTAATTTACATGCATTATGTTTCAAAACAGACACTTTACAGTCAATTATACATGTACATACACAGAAAATACACAGTTTGATCTACAAAACAATTATTGTTCTTATAATTGACACATTAAAAAAATCATGTTTTAATACATTAATATGGTATTTTAACAATAAATGATACGAAACTAATTTGATGAATCACTATCTAGTATGTTTGGTATGCCAGGCATTAAAGACATTAAAACTATGATTATTATAATTATGATAAAATATCCAAAGTTTCCAACTGCTGTTAGCAACAAACTTGAAATCGCCTGAACCTGACCCCAGGGCCATGGATTGCATAACTGAGTGGAAGGCGTAGTGCTTTTCATAATCACGCCAACATTAGACTGCAAAATGTCCAGGCGTAAAGAAAAAAAAATAAAAATGTATTAAATTTGGTGGTTATAATCCTACTTCTCAGGCCCCAGGGGGACAGGGACCATGAAGTTCACATAAAAAGTCTTTACTAGTCATACATGCTATATGGCAGAAATCTTTGAAACTGGTTCAACAGTTCTAGGGGAGAAGCTGAAAATGTTCAAATGGTAACACACTACGCAAAACTCATGACGCACAATGACGACGAATGACGAAAACGTATTGCAATAGGTCACCTAAGTGACTCAGTTGACCTAATCAATATGTTAAAATATTTTATCTATTTAATTAACGGATCAATGGGAACATCACAAAGGGTTTTCTGTCAAGGCGATATCAACATCAGCCTTTTATGTCAAGTTAAGAAAATGATATGAGGGTTTTTTTATTTGGCAAAAAATTAACATATGTTTGTTTCCTATCATATGGAATTTTAAAATAGGGAATGTGTGTAATTATTTTTCTCATTCCCGTTAATACACAGGGAAGTAACCAGACCTACCTCATATTTAATTGCTATCCTTCACCGTTTATTCATCTTAAATATTTTCATTTAACATATCGAAAATGGATTTATTAATTTGAAATTTTAAAACATGTATCAGAGATATTCTAGGTATATATACGATATAGTCCGAAACTGACCTCCCAAATCTTCATAACAGATACACATGACGATAATTATGACTTGAGAACTTGCATTTTAGTCTTTGACTTCGTAAACAAATGAAAAATAAGTGCAATAATTGTTTTTTTTTGTCCCATGTCCAGTGAGACATTACCACTTTGTTACTAATTTCGCTAGTACCTCTCAAATGATTCCAATATCATTCATGTAAAAGACTTCGATGTGGTCAATTTTGATAAATTATAGAACAAGTTACTTGCTCCGTATAATATTGTTGATATAATGCAGATATCCGATGGATTTGGTCTTAGATTTAGCTCAGGAGCTATTCTCACTCGAGTCATTTTAACTGAGCCAATCAGGTATCTTCACCTAACCAACAGTATACTTTCATGTAAATTACTTTAAATTTGATTCGCCGAGAAACATTCTTTAAAAACATAGTTATACCCCCTGCATTCTTTAGTTTTTGTTTCTAACCATCATCAAAGTTTGTTCTAATGTCTCAGTTGTTCCTTTCCAGTAATACCATATCATATACCACCAATCAGACACGCCGGACTGGGCGTACATTCCGTTTAGATTTGAGTAGGAACACCCTTTATACCACCACCCCCCGTAATATGTTACACCACAGTTCTCGTTACTACTCTGGTCATTGTCCTGATCTTTTGTTGTAAATTTCATTCCATTGTTATACGACAAACTGTCACCTGTAACAAAGTGTAGGTACTGATTATTATTATGCTTTCTGTCAGTGTGTCTCTATATAATCAATATCCATCTATTATCGCATAATGTTCTAAGGATTTAAATAGCGAAAGCATTCTATGCCGAATTATTATGATTCCTGTCATTTTCTCTCTATGTTACTCATACCCATCCATTATTGCAAAGTGTTCCAAGGATTTATATGGTGTACGGCTTCATTTTCTAAAGAAAATCTGACTGCGCCCACGCCAGGGACTGAATTCATGACCCCGAGATTGTTATTCTGATGCGCTATCGATAACGACACAGGTTAAATCGATAGCCAAAAAAGTGTACAAAATACTTGTTTACAATGTAAATTAAATAATTTTTTTTCCTTGCTTATTTTGTTCATTTTTATACATGTAGAGCAATCCATCTTATATTTTGTACCGGTATATATTATTGCGACCTCTGACAAACTTCATACAGAATTGAAGCTATTTGATCTCTGTATGTTTATTTAATGGAGAAATACCACAAATGTATATATTATGAAATAAAACTGATCATGACGGGTGTAGCTAATTTGTACTTGATTTCGCTGCACTGAGAATTCAAACACTACGTCTATGATGTCACCGAAGTCAGACTGCAGGGTAAAAAGAGCGGATGAGTGGATTTGGCAATATTTCACAGTATATAAATGTTTGCAACATCTTAAAAAAACTTAAATATTATTTTCAAAATAAAAAAAAAATTAGAATAAAATTACACAAGAACTGTTGATGTTAACAACGTTTAACATATACATCAGCATAGAATATTACGTAATCTGTCTTTTGAGTCATGTGACATGTGCCCTGTCTCCCCTTTATATATCTTATACTTCTTTTTTTACGGCCATCTTTTTCACAATTATCTAAAACATAATTTTTGACTAGTCTTTTACGGGATGTTCTCCTTCCCTATACAGTATGCTTTCGGGTCCGTACAATACCTCTATCCGAAAGCATTGGCAGATAAAACTACTCACTCGCTGTTCCGTTGTATCCAGACACTGTAAGTGTATATTTATTGTCTTCATCTCCTATGTAAAATGTGGAATACACAGCATAAGCCTGTTCGCCATCATATCTCTTGAGATCAATTCGGAGTTCTTGGTTTTGGTCTCTTGTTAAAGCGTAGATTGCTGCATTCCCTAAATTAAAAAAACCAACTTTATTACGCTGTTTGAAATATTCTATCACAAAAATATTAAACGATTCCGTCAAGGTCGAGAGATCAATCCGGGCTGAGGCGTAAAAGAGTATCCTTATATTATTAGTTACACAGTCAGTTAGTGACCTAATACGGATTCATACAGGGTGTGAAATGGAAATTCGTATTGGGCGAGGCGAAGCCGAGTCCCAATACGGATTTCCATTTCACACCCTGTATGAATCCGTATTAGGTCACTAACTGACTGTGTTACGAATTTATCCCGCTGAAGACCTTTATCGATATTAAAAAAATATTTGTGCATATTATGAAAATATTAAGTTTTAATCCAATAACAATCAACATAAAACATCGTTACAGTAACAAGAAACTTAACTAAACTACCTACGTAAAACGTTTCTTAGCCGCCATTTTTATTTACAATAACAACGCTGCGAACGGAATCGCGTGCCCGATTTCCATATTACGCCTCGACAGAGACGTAATACGGAAAATTTCAGGGCGTCATGTGATCAGCTTTTATCCAATCAGCAATCTACAAATTTGTCTGAAGCGGGATAAAAGTGAATCCATTTGTGCTCTCTCCATCTTTCTCTTCTTTTATATATTTATTTATATAGCACTGAAAACTACAAACTACAGGAACAATAAAATTAAATTGTCAAAACTTACTTGAGAAAAAGGAAAAAAGTTATAACTCATAAGAACAAAAGAAACACGAAAAACAATTTCCACAAATGCTGTATGCTATAACCTAATTGCCGAGTATAGGACTTTGAAACTCTCTACTGGCAAGTGATGGCGTCTCAATATACGAGGAGTGATAAAAAAGTTCGCGAACTATTTCTATATCTACAAAACCACACTTGAAATTAGAGAAATTGGTACACACATAACCATACACAAGTTTTATATATAGCAAAAGCTAAAAAAGTTTTTCTCCTTGTTTGTGACGTCACAATGTAAAAATGACGTCACTATGCAGGTCACTTGTGGCGAAAAATAGTTGTCTTTGTCGAACTCGTTCAAGAAAGGACTGTGAAATTTATTGTATATCTTAGAAATACCTTTGAAGAAGCGTTAAATAATTTGTACACAGTCTATTAAGACAAGTGTCTTCCTATAAATTCAATCAATGATTTATTGAAGGAAGGCAAATGGTTAAAAATGATACATTATATGTTGCCGAGTGAAAGCAAGTTTAAAAAGAGATTTGTTTTTAATTAAGCAATTTGCTATCAAAGACCTCCAATTAACACTTTGACAAAATAATTGAATATTTCAACAATAATGTAATTATCAAATACGGAGAAGATATCGTTTACTTAAGGACCCTCTCTACACAAGTGCAAATATTTATTTGGACATTGAGAAAAATATATTGTATAAAGGAGTTAATATTAAACTTATTTATTTAATTTTCTCTATATGGTGCGTGGCATTTCCTCCCAGGAAAAATGCTCAAAGACAAGACAGGGTCAGTGAATAGAAATCACTTTTAATTACTTCAATATAGATAATACATGATAATAACACGTTCACTTAATTTTTCTTGGTTAATTGAAATGTTAAGAATATTTGAATAAATTACAAATTGAGTAATATATTGTAAATTTCTAATTTTTAGAATTTAGATCTAAGGGCAGATCACTCTAACTGCATAAAAATACCTTAGAATCAAAACTCTTTAGTGTGCAGTGTAGAGAGGGTTCTTAAGACTTTTAAATATATTAGATAAGATTAAAAGGAGGCAGCCATTCCCTATTTCCACCTGAAAAAGTCTCTTCTGAGACAGAAGATTTTGGTTTTAATGGTCGCCATGCGCTTATTTTTGAAAGGATATTCTTATTCAACTATTCTGTTGCCGAGAATTGGCCATGTTTGACAAATTAACTGTTCTCGTTATAAAAATCATCAAACATGGAAAATAAATATGTAACTTAGAAAAAAATTTCACTTTTTGTGACAGAACGCTACGGAGGGGGTCACATGACCGCCTATATCACTTGATTTGCGCATGAGCAGAACAGTAACAGATGTGCATTAAAATCAAAGAGGACTAATGTAAAATAAAATCAACATTGAAAACAAATATTGTTCTTTTTATGGAAGTTATTCAATTAATTTGCGAACTTCTGATCACCCATCGTAAGTGAAAAATTACCGGGAGGAATGCTAAACAACAAACAATAAATCGAAAGTTATTAAAAGAAAGAAATCCGGGCCGCTATAAAGTACGTTTGATCTGTCAGGTGTACTTTGGTGAAGTACGATTTACATAGTTTACATAGTTTTTCAAATTAATTAATTGCCACAAGTAGTATATCGTACACTGTTTTATTCTCTTAAAATAGCTTTAACTACCCGGTATATATAATAGAGAGAAACCAAAGAAAGATAATACAGACTGAGGAAATGTTTTAACATATGAATTTAGATCTATTATAATTTAGAAATATTTGAGGACTGCTTATCGGATAAAAGATATAATAAACATTAGCGTAAGCAATAGATAGGACTGTTCTAGTGTTGGTAAGGCAAATTAACGCTATAATTTACACTATGTGGGAAAAATGATTTTGTTTGTGGATCTATAGCCAGATTACGTTCATTCCGGTTAAGTCATATAGTTTTAATGGCATTAGGGCAAACTGACTTTATATAAAGAATATTATACCTATCCAATAGTTATTAGAGGCATCCCCAAATCCATTTTTGTACATTATCCATGTCTTGTAAAAGTTCAGCTCACCATCCTGTCGTTTTTGAATGACCTGTAAACAATACCATATATGCTATTGCTTCTTGTAAATATAAACACCTACGGCTATGTTACATTGTCCGTAATCATCTTTTATTGAAACATATAAATATAACAAACAATGTTCAAGATCGAAATCCAATAAAACAAAACAAAACAGGAACAGAGCAAACAAGGATCTCCAAAACATCAGAAATGGGATCAGGTGCCATGGAGGAGTGAGCATCCCCTGCTGACCTGCCACCCCCGCCGTGTGCTCCTTGTCATGATTGGGAAATAAAAAATAAACTGTGGTCGATTAAGTGTATAAAGAATGGACTAATATTTAGTATGAAAAACGTCAGTCAGCATTTGACTCGATACAAGGTAGTTTATATGCCATTATGTACTATAGTGTTATACTGAGGCGATATTTGATAAAATTGGGCAATAAAGAATTGTTTTAACATCTACGAGATGATTGTCATTTTCCAAATCAATTATTTTTGTTAAATTACTTTATTTTTGCCCTGTTCATGATTTAATACAGAAGGATATGAAGATAACAAACAGTATTAAATGTCAAGGTATATAAAACAATACAAAACAAGAGCAGAGCAGAGTTAAAGATTAAAATTCTACTGCTCTTTGTTATGTTACGGTTCTTCACCAAATGCTTTGTCAATGTTTGGTAAATGCTATGATAAAATATAGTAGTGAATTTTATAGTGTGTCTGCTAATTCGATCGGGTGCTAGTATTGCAGGACAGCCATAATGCTATCATGATAGTTTTGGTAGGTTTGTTTAAGATCTTAACGCGTAACAAGTGAAACGGTCTTAGATTTTATACACGTAAGCAAATACTTAAAACACTACTCACAGTCCACCCTCCTCCATCTGTTGTCATGCCACAGTATACCTCTCTCTGGATGTCAGAGTAAATTACGTACACACCATCTTGTCCTTTCTTGCTTGGGTCTCTTTTTACAATATCTGAACAGTCTTTGTATATTTTTTCTATTCCGTGTAAAATAAAGATAAATTCTATGAATTTCATATTACTTATGGGGTGTATGTCCACGGATTGAAGAAGTGCACTGAATTTTATAAATAAGAATAGCACTTCAATCACTATGTTTTCATTAATTTTCGTAAGCATCAATTTTCGTGAATTTGTAATACTGAAGATTTTGAGCATACGTTATAACGTTATTTCGTGGACAAAAGCATCACCTATACAAATGAATGACATACGCATTTCTTAATTCAATGAACATTTAAATTCGTGGATCTCCTCAACAAAGATATCCTCGAAAGTTGGAGCTCAACGAATATTAATGAAGCCACTGTATTTCAGTTTTCATTTTACATATTTTGCAGAACCACGATTTAAATTTTTAAAAATTTAAATGTCTGTAAATTGAGAACAATGACTCATGTACATGTAGCAACTGATTTAGATGATGTACCACAAAGTTTGACCAACGGATGTTTCATTTGACCGTAACAGTGAGGGAATTGCTTTGCTTTATGCCTTGCGTTATTGAAAACCTCAGATTTTAAAGTCTAATCCAAGTACGTCAGACATTCCATATCCACTCTGGGAGGGAAATACACTACCTATATTAACAATCTTTTACACGGCGGCATTAACTCCAATAAATTAATTTGAACCTAGCTGTTTTAAAAATCATTCAGAGAAATATGTTAAACATGTTATATGTTACCTTCTAAAACAGGTACACAGCTATCCCAAGACAGATCGCATCCTCGGTACAGGCATTCTTTGGACAATCAGTCGCCATATTCTGAAAGTATTTCACCTTAAAGTGGCACCTAGGTTTTATTTAATCGAATTTCCTTTCATCTAAATACTTTATTTACTTGTACGTTTGATTACCTTTGGAAAACTTTCCCGGTCAACATGAAAGATGCGTCCTGCGGTCATTAGGCTACTTACAGTTTTGATGCCAAATCTCGTGTTAAGTTGGCATATCTTTGTTTCACGAATGCAATCCACTGAGCGACATAACTCAAACTTGTTACAAACCCTCATGCACATTCCCATTTCAGCATTTGTTAAAAGGTTAAAGCCAGGTACTGATGAACTTTCATAATTGCTGACGATTAAAGTTTTAGGAAAGAAGCACTGAGAGTAGCATGTCTGTAAAAGGCTTAAGGTTTGTCCAATGAGGTAAACATTGATCACACTAGCGTCCGCTGTTAATTTCATTTTAACAGTTCTCTGTTAGAATTTAGCGGTAAGATTTCATTGTCGGTGACTTGTACCAGATATGATCTTCTATGCGAGTTCTCTTCACTCTTATACCATATATACCTATATGCTAAGGTCTGTTCGTTTATGATTAATGAAGTCTCACGTGATAGCTTATTCATGTTGCATTGGATAAATTGTTAGGTTACCTAATAACATTGTCGATTGAAATTTTTGCAGTTGTTCATATTTGAATATTTTATCTCATTTAGAAAAAATAATAGTAATAAAGGTAATAAATATTCTCCAGATCTGTACTAATTTCATTCTCTAATATATTTTTCTGTACAGAAAGGGCTAGTACTCATGTTTGTAATTTTAAGTACCGACACTTACTTTAAAACCAAAATGTGAAAAAACAAGAAGAATTGACCAGTTATGAAAAAAAATATTTAACTAACGTATATTCTTAAACATATTCCTGTCATACTTGCAATTGATCAAATAGGTATGTAGCACTGGAGAAATTTAATGCTTTTTTGTGATCTTAAATTTATTAATTGTATTTTGTTTAACATCCCATTCGAGATTTTTTCACTCATATAAAGATGTCAAAGTATGCCGGTGAAGAACTTCAATTTCAGACCTATACTTGGCACTCAGGGTCATTGATCATTGAAGGTTCTTGATCGTGCCAACGTATTCTGCGACACAGGGAATACGTTTTTAAGTCCATAACCGAAAGACCCTGACTTTCACTTTTTCTGCTAAGCGCTTGGCGAAGGAACAGTCACTACCTGTGTTTACGTCTTAGATTTGACGCGGCTCCACGAACGAGAATTCAACCCTGGTTTCCGATCAGAAAGTGAACGCTTTATCACTAAAGGCTACAGTGACCGTGTTACCTTAGATAAATTTATTTACTTAAACAAATCTAAACTTGCTCCCTCACTACACTATGGTTGCACTCCGTAATAAACATTCCTATGTAATGTTGATTCCTTTTTAGGCAGAATTTATGATAATCACAAAATGTCTCTTTTACAGCAAATAATAATAAGAATTATAATTAGCAAACGGGCGGTTGATAAAGAGATTTTACGTTCATTTTAGTTCCATCAAAATAAAATTTAATAATTTGATTTCGTGAGTGTTGTCTCTATAGAAATTACGTTATAATTAATTCCTCGTGTATAATTAGAAATCTACAGTATAAATACATATATGTAGTAATACTGTAAAATCATATATTTTCGAAGGGTCGAAAACCACGGGGATTTGATTTCGTGCTTGAAGAATTATTAGTAGAAATGAGTGAAAAAATGCGTTTCATGTTGTACATAGATTATTGGTGTCTTTTCATACCTTGAAAACAACGAACATTTAATCACCAGGATGTTTGTAAAAATAATAAAAAAAAATAATATAATAAATTTCTGTTCCTAAACTAATTGAGGGGCTTTGAAGTATTTCGTCATGCTATGAGAATGTGTAATAAACTGCCAGTAGAATCTGATAGATAGTTTTTGGAATAGTTTGTAACATTAAAAAAATAATTCCCACGCACTTGCGCAGGATTTCAACTAGTTTGTTTAGAATGTTCTCCTCTTCCCCAGCAAGACGCATAATTCTCGAAAGGCATGTTTAATAAAACAAACAAACAAAACCATTTAATTCTTTCATATCAAATAGTTAACCGCTTCTGAAAACTGACAATAAATGAAAATTTATCTAATAAAATGTCACATTCTCTTAATTCTATTTTCTCAATCAAACCACTTATCATAATTTATCTTTTATTGAAAAAGCAAATCTTTTTGTTGTTTTAATAACACAATCAGATGTAATAACACTCACAATAAACCGAAACACTTCATCTTTACGCTGTTAGTTTTGCCTTCAAAATTTCGGAGGGATCGTTTTAAAAATACAGTAAATGAATTTAACAAAAAAAAAATTATTTGGTCAGAAAGAATATGCATTAACTTTTTCCCCCAATTGATAGTGCTCTTTAAACGTGAAAAAATATGTATTAACTAATATTTGATATAGGGGCCAGCTTTTTCGGGGAATAATAAAACGTATTGCCTTTCGTTTTTTTTTTTCAAATTTCAGAATCAGAATCAAAAAATAAAATTTTATTTAGAGTAGGACTTTTATAACATAAACATAAGCTCTCTAGAGCTTTTGACTGACATAATATTTGTACTACACATGCATGAATACATAAATGACAATATACTCATATAACACATTTAAATTACATTGTCATGCATAACAACAGACATATTTACACATACACACACAAAACAACACAGAAAAGTAGAAATAAAGGATATGGAGATCATACATATAAATAAGAGAAAACACAGGAAATAAATATAAATGAATGTCAAAATAGCACTTACGCTTTAAAAGAATCTATGATTTATATATTTTGATAAAAATATAGCAAATGTTTTGAGTTAAAAGTATGTGTGTAATATTATAAATTTATGGAAACTAAATAAATCTGAGAGTCCTTTCTTAAATTTTTTCAATTTTTCTTATGATATATTCTCCACAAAAGTGCCAAATAGCAGGACAGTAATTAAAATTACTCATAATAAAAGAATAATAGATGGTCAGTTTACCCAGTTTTGTTAGGTGTTTACCTATGCGTTTTAATACATTGAGTTGTATTGCTGCTTTTTGCATATGTTTCAGATATATTTATTTGATTTTATTTGGCTATCAATGGTAACACCTACAAGTCTTTCTCCTATCGAGAGTGCCTGAATTTTTTGTGGATTTTCTGTCATATAGTTATTTGAGAACCAATTTATTAGATTTAAGCTTTTTCTTCTAAAACTTTGATAACTTTGCTTAAGTCATTATTTGAATGAGACAGTGAGTTGTCATCAGCATGATTATAAAACATGCCTTCATCATCAAAGCTAAACAACGTTTAAAAAATATGTTTAAAAAGGACAGGACCTAATATAGAACCTTGAGGTACACCCTTATATATATCTTTAAACTTGCTAAAAATATTCCCTACTTTTACACATATAGTCTCCCATCTGACAGAAAACTTTGTACAAGTGTTAGAGCCGAATCTGAGAGGCCATACATTTTCATTTTCAACAGCAGCAGGTCATGCCGTAAGCAATCAAAGGCCTTTGAGAGATCCATAAACACAGCAGCAGTGTACTTGTTATCATCAATGGCTTTTGTCCAGTCTTCAATGATTTTCATTAACACAGTGCATCCATAAACTGGCCTAAATGCCGATAGATAGGGATGGAATATATTGTCAAAATATTTCAACAGCTGTGTATATGTTGCCCTCTCAAATAAAAGTCTTTGAGATTGCTGTTAGAATGCTTACAGGTCTGTTGTTAACTACTCCTAACTGACTATTTTTCTTATAAAGTGGAACAACCTGTGCCTCTTTAAGTTTTTTCGGATATTCACATTTTCAAATGATTTATTAATGAACATGTTGATTGGTTTTGCTATCGTTGGGTTAGACAATTTAAGTGTTTTAACAGAGATACCATCTTTTCCTGTTGCTTTTTAACACCTTTTTTATTTATTTGCTGTTCAACAAAGGAAGTCTGTATGGGATTAGATAAAATTTCATTTTCTATATATACATTTTCATAAATTGCTTTAATACTTGGATGATCGTGATCTACGCTACAGCCCCCTACCCTATGTATTTAGCCACATTTACAAAATAGTCATTAAAGGTTTCTGCCACCTCTGTTTGGTTGTTTATGATTTCATCATCCTTACTAAGTATAATGTTATTTGCAAGATGACTTCCTTTATTTGTCAGAAATGGCTTAATAGTCTGC